CAGAACTCTTGCTTACTCTCCTCTCAATACTGAACAGATTGTTTAGAGTAAAGTTAAGTTTTAGGCTTTTTGCTTTCTTTGTGATTCACAAATTTACTGGGGAAATAATGACACTTCTAGTTTAATGACCCAGTTCAGGTTTTGAGACTAAGTTGTTAAATGAATTGTTTACTAACTGAGAAGTTGTATATAATGTGTACATTACAGTGTTCAGAATAGATGGTCAAAGGAGACTCCCAACTTAATGGTTTTGCTTTTATTTGAATAACTCTGACATCAAATGCTATAATGTGTAACAGAAAAAAATATATAGCACTGTGTAATACATTCAGCAAAAATTACAGTTCTGTGTAAGCAAAGTTTACTGTGCAAAAAAAGAAATTGAGGCTCTATGGACAAAATGTACAGAACTGTATAAGAGAAAGACAAGCCCTAAATCTGAACAGTCGTTAAACAGGATGTTAAATGAGGAATATCTGTACTGTTTTCTCTAAAGGTGTTTTTTTGATGTGCCGCAGGCTATATTAAAAAGTAACTGTAAAAGCCAGGAATGGTGGGCCATGCCTGAAATCCCAGTGCTCAAAGGCTGAGGCAAGAGGCTCACCGTGAGTTTTGGACCAGCCTGAGCTACATCTCGTGACCCTGTCTCCAAAGTGTTAACCAAAGGGTTATCGTATGGCCTACTTAGAGTAGCCATCTTTTTAATGGACTGCATAATTTGGATAATCTAGAGTTGAATGTAATTACCAGCTTTGGAGTTTCAGCACGCCCTGAAGACCATTTCCTTCATTCCATCATCTAGAGCCCATTGTTTGCCTGTCATTCCTATTTTCCATTATTTTCCTCTCCCTTTTCATAGTTTTCCCATTTCCTTAGTAGTTACCCTCTATGTTAGCAATATGGGACAACGTTTTCTTAAAAATGTTTGCGGTGCTGGGGATTAGATCTGGGACCTGGTGCATGCTGAATAAGTGCTCTGTCACCAGGCTTCACCTCCAGCTCTGCCCCTCCCCATTTGTCTTATCAGGATGACCCTGAACTCCTGGATTACAGGGGTCCTTCTGCCTCACCCTCTTGAGAATGTGGGACTACAGTGCACAGCAGTGCACCTAGCTTCGGAGCAAGTATTTGCTGGCATCTCCAGGTTACACCTCCTTCATAGACCCTCTCCTCAACTTCCTGTATTGGACTTCTGACTCCGAAGTTCTTTCTTGACACACTTAAAATTCAACATTTTATTCTCTCACATGCAAACCTACTCTGGGAGTCTCCCATGTCATTAAGAAGCAGGTTTTTCTACAGTCTGTTCTGACTGAGGCATGTGATTCATTGCTTTAGTACACACTTTATTCTTAGCATACATTTTAAATGTCTTATACCTTACTGTTAAATGAAATATTCTTAGCTGGATAGAGTGGCACATGCCTATGCCAGGGGGCTCTGGAGGCTAAGCCAGGAAGATTAATGGTTTGTGGTGAGCCTGGGCATCTCGGCAAGGCCCTGTCTCAAAAAATAAAAAGGGGGCCAGGGGAATAGCTCAGTGGCTCAATTGCCTGCCTGGCAAGTACCAGATCCTGAATTTGATTCATAGTACCCCTCCCGCACCCCCCCCAAAAAAAGCTGAGAATATAGCTCTGTAATAGAGTGCTTGCCCACCATATACAAAGCTCTGGGGTCAATCCCTATTACCACAAAATAAACAAATATGGTGCTAGCCTTAAAATATTACATGTGTAATTTTGGTGGCCCAGAATTAGTTTTGGGTGTGACTGACCTTTTTTTTTTTTTTGATGCCAGGGATCGAACTCACGACCTTGAGCTTGCCAGGCAGATGCTTATGGCACTGAGCTAAATCCCCGGCCCCTGACTGACTTTTTTTAAAAATTCATCTTTGCTGGTTGTAGTGGCACATGCCTGTAATCCCAGCACTCAGGAGACTGAGGCAAGAGGATCACCACAAATTCGAGACCAGCTTGGGCTATGTAATGAATTCAGGGTCAGGCACATTTTAGCTATTCCCCACGGGAGTTCTTTTGACTGTTCGATTAGTTGTTCCATGCATGAAAGACTATAAAATTTTTATTTAGCAAGAATATCATTGCCCAAATGGATCTTTCTACGGTGACAGAAATGTTTTATATTTGCATTTTACAATATGGTAACCAATAGCTGCATTTGTCTCTGAAGGACTAGAAATGTGGCTAGTGTAACTGAGGAACTGAATTTTTTTTAAATTTTATTTTAAATCAAGTAAAACTAAATATAACAAAACAACAAAGCAAATGAGAAGAAAACAATGTAAGTAACAGATGTCAAAGTAAGACAACAGGAGATCATCACTGGCTATCATATTGTCTCTTGTTTTCTTCTAAATAGTTGTTCATATCTTCACACACAACAAATTCATACAAAACAAAATAGTATTAAACTGATCAGAGGGCTGGGGATTTAGCTCAGTGGCATAAGCACCTTCCTTGCAAGTGTGCGGTCATGAGTTCGATCCTCGGTACCGATAAAAACGAAAAAGACAAAAAAAAAGAAAAAATTTGTTTATCATGTTGCATACTAAATATTGAACAAATCATAACATTAATAAAATATATTACAATTTAAAAAAAAATAAACTGATCAGAACAGAATGATGAAGGCATTATAGACCTTCAAAACCGGACAATAAGGAAATCAACAATGGCTACCATAATATCTCTTGTTCTCTTCAATAGCTGTCTATACCTTCATATATGCTGAAATTAAACAATACAAAAACTAAAATCAGTCTGAACCAAGAATAGTATTGTTGGATTTTACTGCATGACGCAATGGAATCAGCACTGGATAACATAGTGTCTCTTTTTCTTCAAAGTAGCTATTAATTTCATCATGCATTATATAATCGATTCTCAAATTGTTTAGGAGAAGTTCTACGCATGTGTGAATCTCTTCATGTATACCTATCTTTTTAAATTTCATTTGATTTTAAATATTTTAAATTTATGGCCAAGTATGGTAGCACATGCCTATAATCCCAGCACGTGGGAGGCAGGATGGCACCATGAATTTGAGGCCAGTTTTGACTAGTGAGTTCAGGGTCAACCCAAATTGCATAGCAAGACCCTTTCTATAAATTAAATAAATAAATACATACATACATAAAATTACGCAGCCTGTGCAGCTAGTAGATACCACACTACAGTACAAAACTAGGATACTACATTCATAATTTTTAGGATATAAATGATAGAAATCAGCTGGGCAGGGTAGTGCACTAAAAGGTTGAGGCAAAAGATCACAAGTTCAAGGCTGGCCTGTACGTCTTAGAAAGACCCAAAACAATAACTTAAAATTAATATGAAAAGAAAAAATAACAAATCAGTTTAAACAAGCTTGAGAAAAAAACACTAGATGGAATGATGGTAAATTGGATAAACATTGAATCCAGAGGCACAAAGAGATTAAAAATTGCCTCATCCTTAGGTCTCTTTTGTATTTTGGGTCTTATCCTCTTCTGCTTTAGATGGATTTTGTCCTAGTGGAACTGGCAACTATAAATTCATATTCTACTTGCACTGCCACTCTAAGGAGGCCTGTCCTCTCAATGATCTTCAAGAGAAAAGTCTCAGATAAAGATACGATTGGCCAGTGCTGGGGATTTAGCTCAGCAGCATAAGCGCCTGCCTTGCAAGCAGGCAGTCGTGAGTTCGATCCCCGGTACCTATAAAAAAGGAAAAAGACAAAAAAAAAGATACCATTAGCCAACATGGAGCATATGTACAATCTGGAATCAAGATGTTAGGATCAGCCAAACCTAGATTGTCTGCCTCCTCCGGAAGGATGAACAGAGTGGGTGTTATGATTGATGGCTTATCAGAACAATATGGAGTAAGGATGATACAGATTTCTACAGGGAATTAAAGATAGCTGGGGTAGATCAAAATAACTATCTATGGTAAGTGCTGTTGTTTCTATAAGTGGGGCGTGGTGGTGAAGGTCATAATCCCAGCGTGTGGGAGACTGAGGCAGGAGGATCATGTGAGTTCAAGGCCAGCCTGAACTACAGAGTAACACCTTGTCTCAGAAACAAACAAAAAAACCAAAATCAATGTTTTTCTATTTCAGTTAGGAGTGTTAAATATGAACCTCAAGCTCTTTATTTTAAAAACAGTAAAAGGGTAGAAATAATACATAATTAAAAAAAAAAAGAAATTACTAGTTGATAATTACATATTTTCTTCTTAGAATCAAGCTCTTTTTATTCTTCTGTACCAGGAATCAAGCTCGGGACCTTGCAGTTACCAGGGAAGCACTATTCCACTGAGCTATATCCCTGACCCTATTAAAATGATTAAATTATCATATGGCTATTCCGTGGAGTATTTTGAAATCTTTTAAAATCATCATATTGGAATAAAATCAGTGGATTCTATCAATGTCAGTGTCCTGGTTATGATGTGGTACTATAATTTTGCAAGAGGTTACCACTGGGAAATTTGGATAAAGGATACATAGATCTTTCTGTGTCGTTTCTTTTTTTTTTTCTTCCCTCTGTATTATTTCTTACAGCTTCATGTGATTCTACAGTTACCTTAAGGTAGAAAGGTTAACTAATATTTAAATCATAATTCTAAACGTGTCAATATATTTTTATTTATGTAAAAAAAAGGCTAAAATTTGTATGTAAACGGTATTCAGTTATGCATGTGAGAAGAAGGATACAGAAATAACACCCAATGAGAATGAGAATATTTTACTGTTCATTATTCAGAGTAATGAAACTGAAATCTCATATGGAGGTGGAAATTTTTATGGTAGTCTTATAATATATCATCTTATAGTATTGCTTAGCGGTTATATCTGAGTTGTTGGATATTACATGATTTTTTTCTTTTTTATAGTTTGTCTCATTTTTTAAGTGCCCTGTAGGAATATACTCTTACTTTTCTAATCAATAGAGTAAAAATTATTTTTAAAGAAGGTACATTTAAAAAATCTTGCTTTCTCAGCATGCCAATGTGAAGGAAAAGATACCCGAATTCCATTACTGAAGGAAGTTTTTGAGGCCTTTCCTAACACCCCCATTAACATCGATATCAAAGTCAACAACAATGTGCTGATTAAGAAGGTACTTAAGACATTGCCTCCTCTTGGTGTGTTGCATCCAGTTTCACAAACTAAAAGGTTAGAGTAGATGACTGTATAGATGACAGTGTTCAAGGAAACAGGATACTCCGGGGGTTGGCGTTATTGTAAATAATGCCTAGTAGAGGTCACTTGAGTTTAGGAAAGTCTGTTTCAGAGTGACTTGGGATGTCTCAGTTGTGGGTAAAAGTAAGCTGTGGATAAACTGGGCATAGTGGCACTTGCCTGTAATCTCAGCACTTGGGAGGCTAAGGCAGGAGGATCATTGTGAATCTGAGGCCAGCGTGGGCTACATAGTGAGCTCCAGACCAGCCTGAACCACATAGCAAGACCCTGCCTAAAAAAAAAAGTAAGGTATGCACCAGTTATCCTGGCATTTGTATAACTAATTTCTAGTTTAGCATTTCAGTTGTGATTATTTTATATCAAATTACTAAGTAGTTATATTCTATGAAATAAGTTATATAATGGTAAAATATAAATATTTGTCTATAAAATACAAATTTATTTAGCAATTTTTTCCAAAATTTTACACTAACAGCTGGAAAATAGTTACTTGTAACCTACTTTGTAAGTAAAATGATACAAATAGATTTACAAATAGGCAGATGCATAAATTTTTGAATTTTCACCTGTAGGTTTCAGAATTGGTGAAGCAGTATAAGCGAGAACACTTAACAGTATGGGGTAATGCCAGTTATGAAATTGTAGAAAAGTGCTACAAAGAGGTAAGCCTTAAAAATAATACAAAATCATCTGTTTTCACTGTTATCATGTGTCTGTCAAGTCATTCCAGCAATAATTTTTAAAACTTCTTTTATTTCATAGCCTGCATACAAAGACAGATAATACTGAATGGAAGTAGGTATCTAAAATGTTTGCTTATGAACATAATCAATTTTAACCTTGCAATTTAAGTTCATTGGTTCACAGAATTATTTTCACAGCCTAATAATTTATTAGCATTTTATGTACATTATAAAACAAAATATGAATCCCATTTTCAACGTCTAGTTTTATTAGGCAATTGAATTTTTTATGTAATTTTAAATCAAAGTATATAGTCTATGAACTTCTTTTTGCCCTATCTCTCAAATAGACTTCAGTTAAGCCAAGAACATAATTTGGGGTATTATAAAGCAGAGCCATCTACTCATTAAAAATTTTCTGCTTGGAGGAAATAAATCTATAAAAATTAATTTGAGCCAGTGCAGTAGCACATGTCTGTCATCTTAGCACTCCAGAGGCTGAGGCAGAAGGATTGCTGTGAGTTCAAGGCCAGCCTGGGCTTTCTCAAAAAAAGTTAATTTGATATTTTTTGAAATGATAGTCAGCTAAGAGAATTGGAAATTCAAATGGTTTCAAAAATTATAAGCATGGTAGACTCCTTTTATTGTACATGTGACACCATAGTGCAGAAGTATCATGACAGAAGTGGTAATTCTCATATACAGAGAACTCTTCTGGGACAGTTCTTTCTTCCTGGCAAACAAGGCAGAAATATCCGTGATCAGCACCAGTGTAGCCTACAGTGCAGTGGAGGCACTTTCTGTGGCAGGAAGATTTTCTTTATGTGCAGCACGCTCTGCAAGGTCCCACCCAAGGTAGCTTGTGTTCGGAGGGAACTGAGCAATTACTCAGCCTTGCAGCCTCAGCTCCTAAGAGCTTAGATCTAGAACTTCTCTAGGACAAATCACTGTCTAATGATTTTCAAATGTTATGTACTGGAGGCCTCATGACCTGCTGATGTTCTTACATCATCAAACACATTTTCAAATAAATGATGATACTGACAGCTGGAAAGGAGACAGAGAAACTGGGTCTTTTACAAGTTGCTGGTAGTGAATGTGAAATTGTACAGCCACTCTCTTTAGTAGTTAGCTTTTTATAAAACTAAACACACATTACCTTGTGAACCAACGTCACCATAGTCATTTATCCCAGAAAAATGAAAGAACATACACGAATATCTGTACCTAAAGTTTTTAAATTTGTAATTTGTGCTAGTACATGTTTTCAGTGCATAATGATTACATTCATTTTGTTCCAGAATTTTTATAGGTGCTTTATTTGTAATAGCAAACTGCTGAAAAGCCGGGCATGGTGGCTCACGCCTGTAATTCTAGCACTCGAGAGGCTGAGGTGGGAGGATCGTTGTGAGTTCGAGACCAGCCTGGGCTACAAAGTGAGCTCAAGGCCAGCCTGAACTGCATAGCGAGACCCTTCTCAAAAAAAAAAAAAAAAAAAAAAAAAAAAAAAGCAAACTACTGGAGAAAACCAAATGTCCTCATTAGGCAAATAGCAGAACAAACTGGTAGATCTATACAATGGGATACTAAATTAATGAAAGAGAGTGAGCTGTTAATACCTGCAACAACCTGGATGGTGCTTAAGGGCATTATGTTTAGTAAAAATACCAGGCTCAAGATCATATACAGTAAAAACAAATTACACATGCTGTATGATTTCATTTATATAATATTCTCAAAACTGTAAACATGGAGAGCTGATTAATGGTTGCCAGGGGACATGGACTGAGAATAGGGTAGCTAGTTGGCATTAATTCTAGGAGATGGCATGAGGGAATTTGTATGGTGATGAAACAGTTTTGTATCTTGCTTATGGTGGCTACATGGATCTACACATGGAATAAAATTACATAGAACACATACACACACACACACACACACACACACACACACACAGATGAAGAGAGTTTTTAAAATGGTAACCCAGGGGCTGGGGATTTAGCTCAGCGGCAAAGCACCTGCCTTGCAAGCAGGCAGTCGTGAGTTTGATTCCCAGTACCGATAGAAAGGAAAAAGACAAAAAAAAAAAAAAAAAAAAAAAAAAGGTAACCCAATCCCACCCCCAAAAGGGAGAAAACTGAATAGAGTTTGTGATCTGAATTAATAATGATACACCATTCCAGGCATGGTGGTGCATGCCTATAATCCCAGCATTCAGGAAGGTGAGGCAGAAGAATCCCCATTGGGCCACATAAGCGAGTGCCAGCCTACACTACATAGTGAGACCCTGTCTGAAAAAAACCCAATGATAATAAACCAGAATCAATTCCTGGTTTGAACTTGTAATGCAGTTACATCAAATGTCACCTTTTGGGGAAACTGCGAGAAGGAAGAATGAGACTCCCCCAGTTTTGTTTTGTGTTTAAAGGAAGTAAAACAGGACAGTAAAATGAAACAAAACAGTAACAGGACAGTAAGAAATCCATAATCATTACTATAATACATATTGTTATTCTCTAAATAGTTGCCTAGACTACAGGCCTCAGACTTCCACAGTTGATCAAATAGCTTAAATGTTAAGTGGCTTTGTTTGCCTACTTCAGTTATTATCATCTCAGCCCGTATTGTGCCCGGTTGCTCACAGATGTGGGTGGAAGCAGCAGATGGAGGCGGCTTCTTTGCTGCTTCTCCCGGTTCGGCAGGCCCACAGCAACCCACAGCGGCACACAGGGAGGCCACACCTTCCTTGCTGTTTCTTCCGAGCCAGTAGGGGCTCCCAAGGCACACAGGGAGGTTGCTCAGCTTCCTTGCTGCTTCTCTCTCACTAATAGGGCTTCTACCAGCACACAAGGAGGCTGCATGGCCTCCCTGCTGCTTCTCTCTGGCAACTGGCAGGTCCTCCACTGGTGTACCTAGACTCCCCCAGTTCTGAACTTCTTGTGAATCTATAATTATTTCAAAAATTTAAAAATTTCTCCTGGCCCACATTCACAGAATTTTTCCTTTGATTCACATTCTTCATTTTTTTTGGAAGCCTTTAGCTTTCTGTTATTTTAGAATTTGGGGGGAATCAAACTCATGACCTCATGCTTGCTAGCCAGGCACTCAACGCCACTGAGCTAAATCCCCAGTCCTGTTATTTTAGAATTTAAAAACTTTAAAAACTTTTCTTTAGTAACATTCAAGTATCACAGTAAAAATATCTCAATAATTCCATTCATATTATCATCATGCTATTTAATTGATTTTTGTTTGTTTGTTTTTGGTCTTTGAGACAGGGTTTCACTATTCAGTCCAGGCTGAATTTGAACTCAGGATCAAAGTATTGTAGACTAGGCTGGCTTTGAACTTGTAGTGATCCTGATCCTTCTGCCTCAGCCACTAAGAGCTGGGGTTACAAGATGTGTACCATCATGCCTGACCTTGATCCATGTTTTTTTTCCCCTTTTTTTTTCTTTTTATTGGTACCGGGGATCGAACTCACGACTGCCTTGCTTGCAAGGCAGGTGCTTATGCCACTGAGCTAAATCCCCAGCCCTTGATCCATGTTTTATAGTTTGTATATATGATCTAACAGACTTTTACATTAGTCATTTAATTTCCAGATGCTATAAACTTAAACTATAAAAGTAACAAGAAGTGTAATACACAGTGATGATGGAAGACATATGTGGTACTGATTCTCACTTAATGACTTTTTATGCATTCACACAATGCAGTGGCTGCACATACTGAATAGTTTAGAAGATTGTGAATGTCATACTCCCAGCACTTAGGGGACTGAGGCAGTGAGTTCAAGGCCAGCCTGAACTATATAATGAACCCCTGTCCTAAAAACATAAATAAATAAATTAAATAAATAAATAAAATGTCTTGGTCTTCCCCCACATATTCTAATTTAAGATACAAATATAGTCAGTTGTTCAATATTTGCCAGGTAGCCACTGTCCCCTACTCCTGGCAACCATGCATAGCTCTCTGAAACTACGTTAGTGTTTTTGGCTCTCATTCCAAAGTGGCATAAATGTTGCAGGCCAGCCCATATGCTTGTTTCCTCTAAGCTTCATGATCCTTAGTGTATGAATTGGCAGAACTCTGGGCATTTCAGGGGCTTGTATGCCATGGTAGAGCTGAAACACCTGCATATAAATAAGCCAGAAACGTTACAAAGCACCATGTGAACACAGGGACAAAACAAATCCTCAAGCCTTTCTATTTTTCCTTAAATAAAGAATTAGGTAGTTTACAGTTAGTTATTTAAAATAAATTACCTTTTCATGATTTTCAATTTATTACTCATAGAAAAATTCATTTTAACCCCTATAACTGCATTGAAAATTGTACTGCGCACAAACATGTGTGGCACATGTGTGAAGAGGTTGGAACAGGAGAATAGGGAGTTGGTATTTAATGAGTATAGACTCCAATTTTGTAAGATAAAAAACCTGGAGATTTGTTGCACAAGAATACAAATATACTTCATATCCCTGAGTGATCACTTAAAAAAATGTTAAGATGAGAACCAGATGTAACACACTCAGGAGGCTGAGACAGAAGGGTTGTAAGTTCTAGGCCAGCTTGTACTACAGAGTGAGGGCAGTCTCAAGGTAAAACAAAATGTTAAGGTAGCAAATTTTATGTTATGTGTTGTATATTTTACATATATGAAAGTTATATCTTTGAATTTTTTTTTTTTTTTTTGTCTTTTTGAGACAGGGTCTCTCTATGCAGTTCAGGCTGGCCTTGAGCTCGCTTTGTAGCCCAGGCTGGTCTCAACTCACAACAATCCTCCCACCTCAGCCTTCCAAGTGCTGGGATTACAGGCGTGAGCTGTAATTTTTAAAGTTTTGGAATTTCAAACAGATTTTCTAATAGAAACTCAGAATAATGGTAGATTCTTGGATGTTACAAATCCAAATCTATTTATATTTTGTATTTGATTCATAACATACATGAACTGTGACTTATATAGATGTTATGTTCTATAAGACTTTAAATTTTTTTTCAAAATGTATTACAGTAAAAAATATTACCATTGATTCATTTCAAAGTGTTCCTGCTTTCTTCAAAGACATTTAGCGACAGGGAAATTAGCTCAGCAGCACAAGCACCTGCCTGACAAGCTCAAGGTCATGAGTGTGATCCCCAGTACCAATAAACAAATAAATAAAATAGTATTTAATTTAAAAAAGACATTTATTCCATCAATGTTGCCACTCCACGAAGCAGTTCTAGAGTCCTCTTTTGTCAGTATCTTTGGTTGTGCTGTCATCATTGCTTAAGGATCCTGAACTGATCCAAAATATTTATCTTTCATGGTTATTTTGACTTTGGGGAAGAGCCAGAAATCACATGGTGCCAAATCCAGTGAATAAGGTAGATGATGACACACCAGAATGTTTTTATTTAATAAACATTGCTATAACGATTTTGAATGAATTCAGAACTTTATAGAGGCAGCCATGAAAAGATACAAGAGAGCACTTCCAGAAATACTTGGGAAAGCAGCAAGAATGATGGATTGTGTGTTTGAACCAAGTGGAAGGAGAGTGAGGAGTTGCTGATTCATGTGTGTAGAATGTGAATGCATGAGTATTTTGAGGAAGACTAATGACAGTGCATTTTACTGTAATTTTTTCATCATACTTCTTTTTAAAATGATTACTATTTTTTTGGTCATCTTTATTTTTGTCCCATTAGAGTCTAGTGTATTTAGTCTCTAGTTGTGACCACCAGACAGAAGTGGTATTACAAATGTAGAGAAAAGGAACAGAGAAACTTTAGCAATACACCAATAGCAATAATAGTATAGGACTCCAAGTAGAAGCTTACATGTTGGTTATAGAGTAGCCATTTCTAAGGGTAGTCATAATTCAGGGAGTCCTTCAATGAATGTTGAGATACAGTGTTGGGAAATTTTGAGGCTTATGAAATAATGCTCTTTATTTGATTAATCACTGCAAAGTAACATAATATTGTTTTTCTTTTAGAATTCAGATATTCCTATACTCTTCAGTCTACAACGTGTTCTGCTTATTCTTGGCCTTTTCTTCACTGGCCTCTTGCCTTTTGTGCCTATTCGAGAGCAGTTTTTTGAAATCCCAATGCCTTCCATCACATTGAAGTAAGTGGTTACCCTGTTTTCATCAGTTGTAAATTACAGAAGGATTAAGAAAAACAGCTCACTAATACCACTACTGCTGTGATTTGTTCACTCATGTTTTAGTGCTGCGCCTTGAACATGCTGAGTGTGCACTCTGCACTGTGGGGTGGATAGTGTTTACCCCTCATGTCGGGCCTGGTCCCCAGTGTAATAGTGTTGAGTGGTGCTGTGGAAACAGTAAGAGGTGATCAGGCCATTACGAGGGATTAATGCCTTTCTTGTGTAAATGAGTTCTCATCTTTGGCTTTCTCTTGCTTCTTCTCTCATATATGTACCCCTCTTCCACACATATCCACTGCTATTCTGCCACTATGAAGCCCTCACAAGAAACCAATTAGATACCATTACCATATATTTGAACTTCTAGAACTGTGAGCTAAATAAACCACTTCTCTATAAATTTCCCAGCCACGGGCATTTTGTTACAGTAATAGAAAAACAGACTAAGACAACTGTCAATGGTGAAGAATAGATTTCTGTGGATCTGGAAGGTAGTGCAGTGGTATAGCACTTGCCTAGTATGCACAAGGCCTGAGTTTGATCCCCCATACAATATGCGCACAGAAAGTAGAATTTCTGTAGTCTTTTTCATGTTCTATCTGACCTGTGTTAAGAGTGGTTTTGATATAAACCAAACGTTTTCTAAAATAAATGATAAATGAATAGAAATACTTAATCTGGACCTATGTCAGGTTATAGTGATGTTTGGTGCCTGGGTAGTCCGAAGTCAGATAAAAGGAATTGAGCTTAATTATAGACATTTTTTTTTTTTTACATCAAACAGCAACTGCCCTTCAACTTCCTTTACTTTATTTTACTTCATTGGCAGCAATCCTCAACTAAACTCCCTTACACTCCAAATTCACCAGTAAGATTAACACATCAAGGAAGGAAAGCTGCTACTACTATACCTACTGAAAAAAAAGAAAGGGACAAAAACAGAGAAAAACCTTTGCAGAGAGGAGAAAGAGTAGAGTTACTTTGTGTAAGGTATTTTATATAATTTCTCTGCAAGGTGCAAAGCCTTGCTTTTCACACACTTAAGTTTGTAAGAAGAGAAAAATATTTAAAACACTTAGAATTGCCTGACAAGTAATAAGTTCTCAATACTTGGCAGCTTTTATTGTTAAATTATCTTATTATTATTAAAAAAGGCTTTGTCTCATAATTCTATGTGCTTAGAATGTGATTTTTAGCTGTAAATTCATAAGAATAACTGAGTGAAAACAAGAGAATTTGGAGCTCCTTGGGGGATTATATAAATGTGATGTAAAACATTTTCATTCCATTCAGAACTTTAAACAATCAAGCTGGGGCTGGGGCTGTAGCTCAGTGGTAGAGTGTTTAACTAGCATGAGTGAACTCTGGTTTCCATACCCAGGACTGCAAAATAATAATAATACTCATAGTAGTAATGATAATAGTAATCAGGCTGAACATCAGTGCAGCAGTTATTAGAAAATATTGGTTTTTAAAAGTCCAGGAAAAACGGGCAGGGGATTTAGCTCAGTGGCATAAGTGCCTGCCTTGCAAGCAGGCAGTCGAGAGTTCGATCCCGACAAAAAGGAAAAAGGCAAAAAAAAAAAAAAAAAAAAAAGTCCAGGCAAAGGGCCAGGGATTAGCTCAGTGGCACAGCACCTGCCTGGCAAGTATGAGGTTCTGAGTTCGATTCCCGGTATTCCCCACAAAAAAAAATCTGGTCAGTATTCTTGTGCTTAGTTTCTGTTTCATGCCCATTTTCCTATTTGAGTTTCTTAGTGATAAATATATTTATTCTAACTATTGCCAGTTATGTTTATTAAAAATCTTGTAGCTGCTTCTCAAACAAAAACAGCAGAAAATACTTATACCAAGAAACTATTTTCACTTGCTGTATTAAAATGATTCCTGTTTATTCCTGAAGTGCTTGACTCTTCTCCTGCCTGTAATAGGTCTTCTGCTTTCTAGATTAATTCCACATCTCCTTTTGGAAGTAAATGTTACTGAAATACATACTGTACAAATACAAGAAGCCCAAGCACCATGTGTTAGTCTTTTTTCTAAAAAGCAATTATGGATTAAGACATAGGTAGAGAATAATTTGTGTATACTTTAGTATTTGAGTAGAAGACAACTGATACTTCATAAGACACTGTGTTCAATGAGGTAATTAGTGTATGAGGTACTAAACGCCCTGACATACTGGAAATTACAACCAGGACTTTCCGTTTGGGCCCAAGTTGTAGAAAAAAGGACTTGTACTGCATTCAGAGAGCTCATAATGCAAACTGAATTGATAGAAAAGGAAAAAAGAAATTTAAGACTGGAGATTTAGGTCTGAGGATATGGCTCAGTGATAGAGCACTTTCCTGGCATAGAGAAGTCGCTGGATTTGACCCCTTCCTCGCATTAAAAAAAAAAGGGAACTCTCACAAGTATCTGAAGAAAGTAGCCTAGAAATCATAGCAGGACAGTCAGAAGTTTCCTTATAGCCAGGGCCCAGGGTTAGTGACGCAGGTAGTTAGCAAAAGGCATCAGATTGATGGAAGAAGGAACTCAGCATGGGGCTAAAAATTCAAGTAGACTCTTTTAGTGTAGGAAACATAATTACAAAGGATGTGGTGCACATCTTCCAATGTTGAAAAAGGAAAGAAAATATGCATTCAGTGCTTCACTTTTACCCCAAATACCTTTTAATCCAGATTATGATTTGGTTGTATGTTTCATTCTGCCACACACTAAATGAAAAGCAATAAAGTGAGAGAAAGTGATTTCATCAAAAGGAGAGGGTCCATGATATAGCTCAGTGGCACAGTGCCTGCCCAGCAAGCACAAGATCATGAGTTCAATACCCCGTACCAAAAAAAAAAAAGATTAGATGAGCCTGGGGCACCAGGTCTCTGGGAAAACAATGCTTATTTAATTGCTTCATCTTTAAATAGTGGTCATAAAAAGTTAGCTTGAAACCACTGGGCCATACATTACTTTTGTCCTACAAAAGTTTTTTGAGAACTTGCTAACAAGGTACTCTTTTCATTTTTCAACTTACTTTAACTCCACTAACCTATTCTCAACTTAAAATTTATAATTAAAACTTTGTTTTACCTTAGGTTAAAAGAACCACATACCATGACCAAGAGTCAAAAGTTTCTCATCTGGCTTTCTGACAAGTAAGAATTCTAGTTTCTTGATATATAAGAAATTACTATTGCTGTAATTGCTGTAGCTATATTTATTAAATATAATACTTACAATCCAGCACAAACTTCTCTCATGTAATTGGTAATGAGAACTTGTTGAGTACCTACTCTGCAAGTGTCTATGCTTGGGTCATATAAAACTAGCTTGAGATTTAATGTTACCCGCTATCATGAAAAAAGCACTCATTAAGTTGAGTGCTTATTCACTCAACTAAATGAATCACTTGGGATTATGTAGCTAATTAATATTAGAGTTGGAATAATCTTTCCCTTCCATTTGTTTGCTGTTTCTATTAGCCCGTGGTCCAAAACATGATAAAAAGTGTGTATGTCAATATAGGACGTGTAAAAGCATATATTGCCTGTTGGAGTACTTCTTAGAAGTAGTTGTACCAAGACAACAGCAGAAAAGTAGTCCTGCCTACAGGACAGATACCTACTTTGAAGAAAATGCCTTAATTTCTACAACATGTTGAGTTTAAAATTATGTAAAAACCATAAAAGTTATTCAGTATTTTAAAATGGAGCCTTGAATGCTTTAATTCATTAATAGTCCTAAATCCCAGCACTGAGGGAGCCTGAAGCAGTTGAATTGCCATGAGTTCAGTGCCAACCTGAGCTACATAGTGAGTTCAAAGCCAGCTTGAGTACATAACCTGTCTCCCAAAAAATAAAAAAAATTTTAAAAAACTTAATCCACTATGTAACTGAACTAAGATGTTGTAGAAATTGACCTGAATTTCCTATCTTATTTAACCTGGAAAGCTGGAAGCACAGACTTCATCCAGAGGGAGAGGAGGAAGCCTTCTCCATTGAGGTGCTCAGGTGACTAAGGATGGGTCTCCTGGGGATCTGTGGTAACACAAGTGGAAGATCTGGTTGTCCAGCCAGCATCCAGCAGCTAAAGGGACCCAGCGCTAAGTCGTAAATTACACTACAGCAGCCTGAGGTATTACCTGAGGCCTTTGTTTGCATTGTTGAAGCACTGGGATTGATTAAATGAGGAATTACTAAACTCTAATTATTTGAGATAGGAATAAAAGCTAAAGAACCAGTAAATACCTAAATCTGTTTTGGTTTTCCTTTCTAGATTATTAATGAGGAAAACTTTATTTGACCACCTCACTGCCCGAGGCATTCAAGTAAGTTTCTGGGATGACACATTTTGGAAACAGTGTAGCCCACTGATTGACACAGGTTTGAAAGGCAATTATGTTTATTTTTTTTTTTTTTTGTAGTTCTGTATTATGTGTAACCTTACACTGCTTTGTCTTGTTTTGTGTTTTTCTCTTTTTCCTCTTAAATAAAAAAAAAAAAAAAAAAAGAAAGGCAAGGGCTTTTCAGTGACTTGTGAAGAAGTCTGACTGCTGCCATCTTAGGCGTACCAGAGACCACTTTAGGCCTCTTCTGTCCCTCTGTGCTTTTACCCTTGCTAAAGATGTCCAGCCATCGGTCCCTAAGGTCACGACACCCAGGACTCCCAGAATTCCTCAGCCCTGCCCTTCACAGACAGCCACCACTCTCCTGCTTGCTCAGCTTGTCCCTGTCAGGGAGCCCCAGCTCCTTTTCTCTAAATTCTTCCCCTTTGAAAGTCCCATCTGGACCTTTGCTTCCTGGTGCCCCTTTGCGCTTGTGACCCTCTAAAGACCCTATGGCCTGTAGAAGAGTTGCCTGTCTGGCCTATTGTGGCAGGGCACTCTCTCAGATTTGTTCTGAAATACACCTGTCCTGCTGAGGTCCTCTCTTAGTTTTTCTTCCTTTTTCCTAACAATTTCAGCGCTGACTCTGATGCTGATACCTTACTGATTAACAAATGAGGACTGTGAGCTCTGCCTTACAGTTAGTGATAGGGCATCAGTCTCCGTGTAGCTTGATTGCTGTTATGTAAGGAGGAGAGCAGCTGAGGCCAGAGTGGTGGGACTGTGCGTTTAATGAGCAAAACCGAGTTGGTTAAAGGAGTTGATGTTTTTGATTTCTTAAAATGACAAGGGTTAGTTCTAAGTGTGCTGAGATTATAGTGGATACATGTTATAAAGAATTTTTTTATTTTAACATTTCATACTTCTCATGATTCTGATTTTCAGGTGTACATTTGGGTATTAAATGATGAACAAGAGTACAAAAGAGCTTTTGATCTGGGAGCAACCGGAGTCATGACCGACTTTCCAACAAAGCTGAAGGATTTTTTACATAATTTTCCAGCATAGAAAGGTACTTGAATGTATTCAGAGAAACCATGGAAAGATCTAAGAAGAGAATATATCACCATCATTTCCCTAAGATACTTCCAGAATGATACATGGTTTAATCTAAGTTTTGATTACCTCATTTTTAAGCCTGTATGAGAATGTAGAAACTATATATTGTATATTTATTTTAAACAGTACAGCATATTTTACAATTGTAAATTGTTCAGAAAGATAACTGGTAGGAGATGTAAGTACATTATTGATGAAGATATTTGTATATATTGCAGTATTCTACTATAATTACATCTGAAATCAGAGACTGTTGGATAAATTTGCTGTTAGTTTCATTGGAATAAGACCAACTTCTTAGTAAAAGAAAGTTATTGAAGGCCATTACAGCTGCTCTGCACTGTTTCATTATATGTAGAAACATCTTCATTAAGCCAGGCATGATGGTGCACTCCTGTAATTCCAGCACTTGGGAGGCTGAGGCAGGAGGATCATTGCAAGTTCAAGACCAGTCTAGGCTACAAAGTGAGGTCAAGGCCAGCCTTTTTGAGACTCTGTCTCAAAAAGACAAAAAGAGAGAGAATATAATGAAAGAAGAGCTTGAAAAGCAATGCTCTAGTTTTCCAGCAAGTTATACATTGTTAGTAGAAGGCAGGCTCAAAGAAATAACTGAGCCAGGTGTGATGGCACACACCTGTAATCCCAGCACTTGGGAGACTGAGGCAGGAAGATCACTTGAATTTGAGGGCAGCCTGGACTACATAGTAAGTTCAAAGCAACCTGAACTGTAGTGAGATAACTGTCTTTAAAAAAAAAAAAAAAAAAAAAAAAGTAGACTTTTCAACTGTAGATTAAGACCATGTCCAGATAGTCATTTTTTTTAATGATTTCTCTAAGAAAATGCAAGATTTTCGTTTTTTGGCCTTGACTGTTTGAGTCTACATCTAGATTTTAAATAACACCTTGAACTCTAATAATGTTATTAAGCTGTTGGAAGTATACATATCATTGTTTGTAATTCTGCTAGTATGAACCACTGTCCCTGATCTTTACAAATTCAGTCTTCTAAACATTAAGTAGAAACAGATTTTCCCAAAACTTGCTCGGTTTTTATGATGTGACTTCATGTAAATGTTTCTGAGTTTTTTGACTAATTTTTATGCTCTCAAATTGATAGATAAATATAATCTGAAGTGTGTCTTTTACCCATATTGTGTCTTTCACTTGGAGTTTGATATTTGTACAGCTATGAAGGATGACTATACTCTCTCACCTGTCCCTGGAAGACATATGTATTGTTTGCGTTGTTGTTTAACCCGAAATAAAGTTTTCCAAGAACAAAGTAAGTGTCATTGTTCTACAGTTGTAGTTTCAAGTATATTCTATAAGCTTTTTTGCAGAATTTAGTGAGGTGATTAATTGATGGTACGAGTAAATGCATCTTAGATTTCACTCTAGAGAAAAAAATACAGCCATGTGTGGTGATGTGTGCCTGTAATTACATCATTCAGGAGGCTGAGGCTGGATGATCACCAGAAGTTCGAGGCCAGCCTGAACTACATAGTGAGACCCTGTTTTAAAAGATAGATATAGATATATAGATATGGAAGTTATTTCTTGCATTGAATAAAAGATTCAGCAGATAATCTATTGAGGATTTTGGGGGGTTTTTTTGAGACCAGAGAGTTTGAGACCAGCCTGGGCTACATAGTGAGTACAAGCCAGCCTGAACTATATATTAAGAACCTGTCTTAAAAAAACTAAAAAAACGAAAACATGTTGAAGTAGGGCTGGAGTTTTAGCTCAGTGGTAGAGCACTTGCCTACCCTGCCTAAGGCCTTGAGTTAATGCTCAGTGCTGCAGGGAGGAAAAAAAATAAAGGAAACTAAAATGCTTACTGGGCAAGAAGAATCCTTATGAGCAGCTAAAACCCTTAGGCCTCATAAGTGAGCTAATTCTTGGGAGGCAGACACTTGTGCCATTGAGCTGTATCCCCAAGCACTCAAATCTGATAAGTTTCCTCCCATGAGCCATGCAAACCATGGGGGGGGGGGTCCCAGGAAGATATGGCACCCTTCCCATGAGCTGGCAGATGCCATGCTAGGACCTGGGAGGAGTACAAGAAGCCAGTTCACTCTTCTCATGAGCCTACTTGCACTTGAGCTGAGAATCAAGAATGCCACACCTCCCAGAGCCCTCAGGCAACGGACTGATTTGGATGACAAATTGAGCTGATAACAACTGAGGTAAAAAAAACAACTAAATGCTTGTATTGTTTGATTGACTTTGCAGGCCTAAGGGCACTAGTCTGAGCATCTATTAGGCGGATAACAGGATGCAATATAGCAAATATGGGAGATTTCCTTCTGTCTCATTTTTGAAATCCAGTGTTGTTCTCACTGTTTTGTTTTGTTCTGATTTTTTTTGGAGGGGGTACCAGGGATCGAATTCATGACTTCATGCTTGCCAGACAGGCGCTTGTGCCACTGAGCTAAATCCTGTTCTGATTTATTTTATTTTATTCAATGTTCTGTTTTGATTCATTTTATTCTGTTTTGTTTTATTTGCTTTTACTATGTCTGGTGGTATAGACAACTATTTTAAAGATAATAAGATTTATTACGAGTTTTTTTGGGGTCTTTTTTTGGTACTGGGGATCAAACTCATGACCTTGCACTTACCAAGCATGCACTGTGCCATTGAGCTATATCCCTGAACAACAAGATACATTATGGGGCTGGGGATTTAGCTCAGCGGCATAAGCACCTGCCTTGCAAGCAGCGGTCGTGAGTTTGATTCCCAGTACCAATAAAAAAAAAAAAAAGAAAAGATATATTATGGTAGCCATTGTTGATGTCTTATTATCATGTTTTGAAATTCTGTACCAGTTTCACTGTTTTGTTTTGACTGGCTTTATTCTGTTTTGTTTTGTGAGGTTTTATTGTCTTTCAAATAAAAAATAAATTTGGTAAATTTGTGTAAAACTTGACACTGACAATAAAACTTTATGTATAACTCAAAAAAATCAAAATGTTAAGATGACAGGTTTCATGGTATGTGTAGTTTTGCTGCCATTAAAACTAGTAATTTCAAGCAGGTATGGTGGTGCACATCTATAATCCAGCATTCAAGAGGCTGAGGCAGGAGGATTATTGCAAATTTGAGAACATCCTGGGCTACAAAATGAGCCCAAGGCTATCCTGAAGTGCATGGGGAAGTCTTTCTCTCAAAAAGACAAAAAAGAAAGAAAGAAAACAACAAAAAAAGAAAAACCAGACCAAAAAGAAAGAAAGAAAGAAAGAAAACAACAAAAAAAGAAAAACCAGTTTCAGTTCTGACAATTTGTGAAAAGAAATGTTTATTTCCTTTCCCTTTAGAAGATGTCAAATAAATAGAATAGTCAGATGTTTGATTCTGGATTGAATCTTTTTTTTTTTTAATTATAGTATCTCTTTTGTTTTTTAATGTTCCTTCATAGAGTTTCTTTCTCTTTGTCTCTGTCTCTGTCTCTATCTCTTTCTCTGTTTGGTACCAGAAATCAAACTCAAGACCTCACACTTGCCAGGCAGATGCTGTGCCACTGAGCTATATTCCTGAACACATGTGCGCACGCAAACACACACCTTTTTTTTTTTTTTGTCATTTTGAAACAGGGTCTCACCATGCAGTTCAGGGTTGCCTTGAGCTCACTTTGTAACCCAGGCTGGGTTTGAACTCGAAACAGTCCTCCTGCCTCAGCCTCCTGAGCTCTGGGATTATAGGAGTGTGCCACCATGCTAAGCAAATCAATGAACCACCTGTCAAAGATGTTTTGAGATTGGTAAAATTTTAATATAGATATTAAATGAGATTTTTAAAAATTAATGGATACAATTGTTCCATTGAAGCAAGTTACAAAACAACATGTACATAGTTTCATTTTGGTTTAAAAAAAAAAAACTATGTTGATGCATATCTCTTCAGGAAAATTATGTCAAGACAGTATGGAAGACCCCAGCAGTGAGCCCCAGTCTCCTTCCAGGTGTCATGGTGCAGGGCAGAAAGAAAAAAGAGCAAGAGACAAAATGGCAGTGCAGCTGGGCTCCAGGATGACCAATTCTCAAGGAATGAAAGGCCATGAAGCAGCCAGCACTTACTGACTGAGGAGGGGATTATCACATAACTCAAGAGGATGGTGGTAATCTAAAACTGATGAGACTCTTGCTGTGGAGCATCTCTAGTCTTAGCAATCCTAGTCTTGGTCTTAGTAGGTGGGAGAGACCCACCCCTAAAGAGATGATGGGAAACCTCAAAAGGATGATACCCAAAATTCTAAGCCTGAGTTCATCCATTAGGGAAGTATGAGTTCCCATCCATTAGGGAGTTCATCCATTAGGGAAGCCATTGTGGATTTGTGGCCCCCAACAGGTAAGCAATGAGATAATTTTTGGTTGTTTCAGTGTAATGTTTTTATATTTTTCAATTTTCACAATTGGTTTCATACTAACATTTTATTTTTATTTTAAAAATTAAGCAAAAAATTAGAAAAAGGACATGGTGGTGCATGCCTATAATCCTAGTGTTCTGAGACTGAGGCAGGAAGATAGCCGTGAATTCAAGGCTAGCCTGGGCTGCACAATGAATTCAAGGCCAGCCTGAACTACAGACCAAGACCTATCTCAAAAAAAAAAAAAAAAAAAAAAATGTTGGTAACAAGCATAAATTGTGATCTTTGGTCCTCACTGATAGAACTGTGGGGGACCGGTGACGGCTGAAAAGATAAGAAGTGTGAAATATAAATGACCTTTATTTTGAGAATGCAGGGAGAGACACCCCCGATCCCCTGGGGCACGGCATCTCCCCCCGGGGTCGGCAGTCTCTCCGTGGAACACATGGAGTGGAGGCATATAAGTAGCCTAGGTTTGAGGTGGAACCCATGATGCACAGGTAGCCCATTGGCACTCATTTGGTGCCAGAAATAAATTCCTAGGGGTGGGGAAGATACAGTCACAGGTAAATTCCTAGGGGTGGGGAAGATGGAGTTCCTTGGTTCCACCTGAGGCTTTACCGGCTTCAGTGTCCAGTCTGGGCCAAAACTCTTTCATATCCTGTCTTATTATTATTATTATGAAAAGGGGCGAAGATTTCTTTTTTTACTGCTTCCTGCTGGAAAGGGGCGTTGTGCTGGAGTCTAGGGGAGTCGATGGGATGATGGTTGATGCCCAGGTAGAGGCTGTTGCCAGGTGTTTTAGCCAGGACAACTTCATTGGTGAATGCACGTATGTTAGTCTGGAAAAACAAAGAGACAAGATATTATGAGGAGGCATGGCACTGTCATATTTAAGGACCCAGGTGAGGTAAAAGGAAAGGTGCTTTTGATTTTGATATGTCATTATATCAGGACCATGTTGAGGTAGAAACATTTCCACGGTGAGGCAGAATTCTGAAAAATAAACGTGGAGTAAGGAGGAGTGAAGTTATAAGAGGTGATTACTCCCCCATCTGAAAGGGTAGAAGTTAAGAGGGTAAGGCTTGTCTCTGGTATGCATGACATAGGAGTCTTTAGGAAATACTGTTGAGAGTCCTGCTGTAAAAAAGGATATGAAATTAGAAACCAAATTGGATATCAAAACATGACTTAGCTTGTGAACTGTGGCTGCGAGGCCTTGGTAAAGCAGAGATGAGTAGGCAAAAAGGATGGTTAGATCTAGGGCTGGAAGGGTGCCACTTAGCCTGAGTGATGTGAAACCAGGATGGCAGGCTAGCAACTTTGATCATTGTTGAGGTTGCCAGGAATATTAGGTATGGGTCGCTGTAACCTGGTTGTAGTCCTTGGAATGATTTGGTGTAACAGAACTTTAGCAAGTATATCAGCAGTTTTTCTGGTTGTGGGAAAGGCTTGTATGTATCCTGAAAAAGCATAAACAAAGGTGGCAAAATTTATCTGTCAGTCTTGACCAGGGTTGTCTGAGAAACTGGTGAGTAAGAAAGGAAGGGGGTGGTCTATATCACTGAGGAGAGGTTTATTAGCGATAGCAGGTGTAAGCTGTTGAGGCCTCAGTGTCTGGGTCAGCCTCTATAAACACAAGGAAATAAGAAGCATTTTTAAGATTTAGGACTATAGAGGGAGTGGTGGAGGGAAGATTTGGCACCACTGGGTGGATTGGGAAGAAGCAGTCTGGAACCTGCACGAAATAGGCCCTGTTTGTAAATGGCATAGGTTGACCTTTAATACCCCCTAGAGATTGAGGACTTACTGTAGTGGCCTGAAAACTCAGGAGGAACTCTGTATATATGGCCTCTATGTCCACAAATATAGAGAATGTCTAACTTGAGACTTTTAGTGGGACTTGGACTCTGAGAAGGACACCATAAAGGGGGCTGTTGTTGGCCCTGAGCCCGTCAGTCTTCAGCAGCAAGTTTAAACAGATCTGTTGGTGATGAATCTGGCAGTGTTAGCATTTCCTGTGAGGGCTGGAAGTTAGGATGGCTTACCCACTCTGGGACAGTCCAGTAGCCCTGGGGTAAGGTCTCAAAGGAATGCCAGGATGGGGCACTCTCTTGCCCAATGTCTTCTGCTGCATTTGAGCATGGTCCATGGCGGGGGCCCAGGCAGCTCCACCTTGTGTTGGTTTACCTGTCTCAGAACTCCAAGTGTCACGGTTATCTCTGTTGTTGAAAATATGAAAAGCCACATTAAGAAGGTCTCTGTGGAGTTTGAAGGTCAAGTTTTGCCTTTTCGTTTGGGATTTGGACTACAGTGGAAGGTATCTGTAGAATTAAATAAGTATGCAGAAGTCAAATATAATCAACAGGGTATTTGTAACAGGTGCAGAGAATCTTAGGAAATGACATGTCATTTATATCATATATAAGTATCACTTTATGTTGTTAAAATGTGTAATGCCATCTGATTTTTGGAGGATGACCTGTTTAATTAATTTTTACCTTTTTATTTATGAGCAAATTCAGCTACAATGTTACTTAATATCAATTGAATATAGTTAATTATGGCTCGGTGGAGGGCTGAGCCAGGACAGGCAGACAGGCTGGGAAAGGTTTAAGTTTGGCTTCTGCCGCAGTGTTGGTCTTGTTGTTTTGCATATATCATACAACCCTTGTCTTGGAAAAGAGCTAGTGGTTCCTAGCAAAAGGAATTTATAATTATTTTTAAAGTTTAGTTGTTAAACAGGAGATCAGTGACAATACAGTATAATATAGGCAGTAAGCTTAACATAGAACATTACTGGTGGTTTACAGCAAAAGGAATTTATAAATACCTCTTAATTTTAATTGTTAAATGTTTAGGAGATTACTAAAGGCTGGAAAGTGGCGAGGAAACAAAGGGGACGCTGGCGGGGAAAGGACACACATTCCCAAAACAAAGGCTTAAAGATAGAGAGTTTTGTAAACTTGTTGTCAGTGTCATAAGCTATAGGTAGGGGGGCTGGGGATTTAGCTCAGTGGCATAAGCACCTGCCTTGCAAGCAGGCAGTCATGAGTTCAATCCCTGGTACCGATAAAAAGGAAAAAGACAAAAAAAAAAGCTATAGGTAGGTATGGTTTTTTTTGTGTGTGGGGGGGGAGACAGTAAGTGGTCCCCAAGATAAAATCTGGTGTGGGGTCTGGCCCTATAGCCAGATGAGGCAACAGACCGTGGTCTACTAAGTGTAAGTTGTCACTTTTTACTTGTTTTAGACTGATCGGTATTATATGGTTCCAAAGCTTGTAATAATTGGTCCTCACCAGTATATACGAGTGGATTTCTCGTGGGTTTTAGTAACAACTCTGCCCATGAGAACTTAAAAAGCTCTGAAGGACGTGAGAGTTTTTCAGTGTGGACACAGGCTGGCCCAGGAAAACTCTGCCTTGGGCTGTCTAAGACGTAAGAACGTGAGAGCATCACAGGAACCCACGGAAAGGGGGAGAACACCCACCTGGGGCCTGGCCCAGCGGCGATCTCTGGGGGTTGCTCACCTGTGGTAAATTGGGTCGGTGTTGTTTGCGAGCCAGCAGTGACAAGTTTACAGCTCCCGAGTGTAGAAGTGAGGAATTAATGCAGGATGTAGTCCAGTCCTGGTCCTGAACGGCAGGGGACTCAAACTGGGAGAGCCCCAGGAGTCTCTCCTCTGCTCAGGGAATGATATTATAGAACTGTGGGGGACCGGCAGCGGCTGAAAAGATAAGTATAAATGTATACTATATACATTTATATATAAGTATTTATAATGTATATATACTATATACATTTATAGATAAGTATAAATGTATACAATATAAATGACCTTTATTTTGAGAATGTGGGGAGAGACACCCCCGATCCCCTGGGGCATGGCATCTCCCCCCGGGGTCGGCAATCTCTCCATAGAACACATGGAGTGGAGACATATAAGTAGCCTAGGTTTGGGGTGGAACCTAAGGGACATTAGTGATGCATAGGTAGCCCATTGGCACTCGTTTGGTGCCAGAGGTAAATTCCTAGGGGTGAGGAAGATGGAGCTCCTTGGTTCCACCTGAGGCTTTACCAGCTACAGTGTCCTGTCTGGGCCAAAACTCTTTCACTCACATACTCACTATATTTTATTTTATTTTTTTATTTTTTTGGTACCAGGGATGGAACTCACAACTTCACACTTGCCAAGCAGACTCTTCCACCACTGAGCTAAATCCCTGGCCTCACCTACTCACTATAAATCTAGGTTCCTGCTCCCCATGTTTGGGTTTGATTAACATGCTAGAATGTTCACAAAGCTCAAGGAAACTCTTTACACCAATTTACTCTCTTATCATAAAGGATACAAAGAAACAGCCAATGGAAGGGGTGCATGGGGTAACTTATGAGAGAAAAGGTACAGAGGTTCCATGTCCTCACTGGACATAGTGCTCTTCAGGAGCTATCAGAAAGCTCATTGAAACTGGGCATGGTGGCACATGCCTGTAATCCCCGCACTCTGGGAAGCTGAGGCAGAAGGATCACAAATTCAAACCCATCCTGAACAATTTAGTGATTCAGAGACTTTGTTTGAAAATAAAAACCAAAAAGTACTGGGGCTGTAACTCAGTGGGAAAGGTCTGGGTTTGATCCTCAGCACTGAAAAATATAATCTGTACTTTAAAAAAATTGTAGCAAAAGATTCTGTTACCATTCTGTCACTCAGGAAATTGTGACAGTTCTAGGAGCTCCATGCCAGGGACTGGGACAGAGACCAACATGTGTCTTTCTTATTAATTCCCAAGGACTTTGTGGATATGTGTGGTATTGTGATCGCTGCTAATCATTTGAAAAGGGAAAAATAAAGACTCTGCCATGATATTTTCCTATAATCCCAAAAAGAGAATTTTTTTAAATTTTTTTGCAGTATAGGAGATTGAACTAGGTCTTGTACATGCTAGAAAAGTGATCTACCACTGATACATGTCCCAGCCCCATAAAAATTATTGCTATTATTATTATTATTTTCTTTCTTCCTATGTTCCTTTTTTTCCTTCTTTCTCTTTGTCTTTCCTTCCGTCTCTTCCTTCTTTTCTTTTGGGTTTTGAGGCACCGTCCCACTATGTAGTTTAGTATGGCTTTCAACTCACTATGTGCCCCAGGCTGGCCTCAAATTTATGGAGATCCTCCTGCCTCTGCCCCTCAAGTGCTAGGATTACAGGTGTGGGCCACACTCCTGGAAATCTTCAGTATTTCTTCATGTTGCTTTTCTTCCCCTGAGCCTTTAACCCTACTTGGAGGATTGCCTGGTAATATTTTTAATTGCCAGATATCTTTGCCATTTTAGTCCGGTTAGTTTAATTAATTGGAACCTTGAGTTAATGAGATGCCAGTGTGACTTTTATCCCCAGTGGACTCTGTCAATTCTTGTCTAGAAGAATCATTCCACATCACCAAGCACTGGCACTTTTCTTTGGCTTGAGTGCTGTATTCCCAGGAAAACTGAGAGGCACTGGATGACAAGCCCATTGAAGCACAAAATTCAACTAATATTATTAGTAAAATCATTTTCCAATTTAAAGGCTTCAGCACGGTTCTTTGTCAGTGTGTGGATGGTCACTTTTCCATGGCTGGGTAAGATGCCTGATGTGCATACTGAAGGAGAAGGGCTTTATTTTGGCTCACAAATTCCAACCATGGTCAGCCAGTACCAAAGCAGAAACACAGTGTTGGCAGGACAGGGCAGGGAGGGCTGCTCGCCTGGGGCAGCTGGAAAGCAGAGAGAAGAAGGGACAGGGGACCAGACACCGCTCTCCAGGTCATCCTGCAGGTGCTCCAAAGGCCCACTTCTTTCAATTGAGCCTCTTTACAGCCAGTTCAACTAGGAACGCTTAAATGTACAAAACCTGTGGGTGGAAACTTCCTTCAAGAACATCATATTCTGTAGGGAAAGATTCAGATGGCAGCTTAATGATCCAAGGATAGTCTTATTTGCGGGGGGTGGGAGGGTATTGAGAGAGGGTCCTACTGTGTAGCCCAGGCTGGCCTTGAACTGACTGCGATCCTCCTGCCCCAGTCTTCCAAGTGCTAGAATTACAGACCTGTGCCATCATGCCTGGCAATTTTTCCACTTACTAATCCATAACTTATACTAAGAAGCTATGGAAGAGCTAATACTCATGTAGTAAATTATCCCTTAAACTTAAAAGGCACTGTCTAAATAAGAATTTCACAAAAAATAAGATACAAGCTGGGCAAGGTAATCTCAGCAATTGTGAGACTAAGACAGGGGATTGCTCTGAATTTGAGGCCAGCCTTAGCTACATAGTGAGTTCAATGCCAACTGCCTGTACTACATAATAAGACCTTGTCTCAAAAAACAACAAAAAAGTTACTATTTTGAAATCTTAGTGGATTTTAATTTTAATTCCCTCCCCCCACCTGGGACTTTAATTTTTGAGATATTTTTCCATTGCTGGGAATTGAACCAAAGGCTTAGTGCATACTCTGCGAGCACTCCACCACTGAACCACATTCCTAGCACACCTTACTTAAAATTTTGAGAGCTAGGTATGGGAGCTAAAGTACAAGGAGTGCTGTGAGTTCAAGACCATCCTAGACTACATAGTGAGTTCAAGGCCACACTGAACTACATAGCAAGACTCTGTCTCAGGAAACCAAAATATATCCTAAAATAATAATATTAGTAATAAATAAAATTTTGAGAAGTTTCCCAGGATCGCCACAAATTTGAGATCCTCCTGCTTTGGCTTATTGGCAGGCTGGAACTACAGATAATGTGCCACCATGCCCAGCAGGGATTCTTTGATTTACATCACCTTACATGACTCTTGCGGAAGTCCTTTGAGGTCAACATAAAATAACAGAGTCTCAGAGAATTCTGAGAATTGCCTGAAGCTAGTCATCTTATCATAAATGTCATCCAAAACCCTCTGGAGAATCTGTATCTCTATGAAAGATCTTGCAGGCTGCTGGACCTTTGCTGACTAGAACACTGTGAGCGTGGGTACACAGAACGTTGTAGGTTTAGAGCCAAAATAATCTTGGACTCTCTTGGCCCTTTAGTAGAAGTTATCTTAACTTTTATATACGACCTAACATTCTCAAGATTGACAGATTAACTTCCATTTGGAATAAACAACATCCAGCTTCCATCAATCCTAAAGTTAAGGGGCTCAGTGGCACAGCATCTTCCTGGCAAGCGTAAGGTTCTGAATTCGATTCCTGGTACTAAAAAAAAATTCCTTAAGCTAAGAATGCTATAAAGTAACATCTCGGCCTCTACAAGAGATTGCCCCACTTGCCGATGTCTGCCTGCCTCCTGCCAAACTCTTTGGCAAATACATTCAGTTATAGCTTGCTATTGTGCTCTGATTATAAAAGCTCATGATGTAACTCTTTCCACAGTGGAGCACCATTTAGAATATCTTGGTCACTCAGAATCTGGCTCAGAATAAACTGTTTTTTTTAAAGGAGATCTGTTGTTTTATGTTGACAAGTATTCAAAATGAAAAGTCCAAAATGATGGATTTTTAGTATCTGAATTTAGGAGGAACCCAGAGATGTGAATTATTTCTCTATATTTCTTTTTCTTTTTAGGCAAAGGGAAATGTTCATTCATGGCTGGTAGTGCATTTGTGCTTGGTATGTTGTGTGGTATCTTAATACTTTGGAGAAACACTAGTGTTTTTGTAAGCTTTGTAAGCAAGGAAAAAAACCTCAATAAATCCATTAGATTTATTTGACCTTAGTTGACTCATAAAAATCACTAATTTTGGAGGTCAAACAGCTGCACAATGCACAACTATTTTCCCAAAGCTTGGCTGTGTGAGCTATGATGACAGTGGTGGCCTTGGTCACTTTTCAGGGATTGAAGGCCACTTGTTGGGAGAAACCGGCCCTCCTCGGTGCCTGCACATGCCCTGTGGGTGCCTGAGATGGGATGGTAATTCTTCATATCACATCTCCCTGTCCATTTGCTGCCTTTCCACCTTCCCACTGGTTTGAAGCACTGATGATATATACATGACTGCCCCATTGGGTAGCCCATGCCACTCGTAGTCCAAATGGATTGAATCACTTTTATCAGTCTTTTTACTAATAATAAAAAAAATTTGTGCGTGTTTTTGAGATGGGGTCTCACTATATAGTTCAGGCTCATCTTAAACTCATAGTGATTCTCCTGCCTCAGTCTCCCAAGTTCTGGGATAACAAGTGTGCACCTGGCCATTAAAAAAATTAATAAAGAATGACCGAATGGAACAGCCATGCATGTAGCCACCTGGCAGAGAAACATGCAGATCACCCCTCCATCATGAACGTGTTAGCTAGCCTTTGAGTCAGGTTCTGTTCAGCTCTGCATGTGGATGTGTTGATCATTAAGAAATGTTTTGCTCATACTTTTACACAAGGTTAGCTTGACCCAGACATACACAGTCTCTCCTACCTTTCGAGGCTAACGGCTATCCATGTGTCGTGACCAGAAACGATAGGCTGTGAAACACGTAAAGTAAGGTGGCACTTAAGGTTTTGGAAGATCTCCACCTATGGCCAGAAAAGACATGACTATTCCTTCCCGTTATATTGGCTTTTCCATAGATGAATTTCCAGGCCTGGATCTGGTCCTATTTTTGGCTTTTAAATTTTTTTTTTTTTTTTTTTTTGTCTTTTTGCTTTTTATCGGTACCAGGGATTGAACTCAAAACTGCCTGCTTACAAGGCAGGCGCTTATGCCACTGAGCTAAATCCCCAGCCCGGCTTTTAAATTTTTTGAAATTTATTTTTTGTTCTTATTAGCATATGTTTGCTGTACATAGTGCTTGCATTCATCCTGGGGGTTGGTACCTGTACATAACACATCTTAATTCCTTTTTTTAATCCCCCATCCATTGATTTTGAAACTACTTAGGCAGCAGTCTTTACAAGCTTTTAAATGATAACATTGTTGGC